TGGCCGTGACGGTCCCTGTTTACATACCGTTCATTTACTCTTCAATAATGTCATAACTCAAAAAAAAACCAAACTCCAAAATGGCTTTAAAGTTGTGAATTTACTTACATATATATGTATGTATGTAGTCCCGTAGTAAAAATTAGTACATATTTTGTTCTAGTGGGCTACTGGTAATCGATACATCTTTAAAATTTTTTGCAACATAGAAAAAGAAGTAGTGGTAACTTCTGCTGACTTAACTCAAAAATTTGTAAATACTAATTGTAGTATATGAGCAATATGTGCTAAGAGTGACAGTTACTGCCAAAATTGTACCACTTTTCTCTCTTTGAAAAACGAAAGCAGTAAGCTTAGTATTAGTCTTTGTGTTTTTATTCGTCATCGTTTAAGACATCGTCGTCCTATTCGTATTCATCTCCGTAAACGTATTCATCTTCGTATTACTTATTACTATTCATATTACTCTTCGCCTTCGCCTTCATGTTCGTATTCGTATTCGTTTTCGTATTTGTCCTTCTATTGATATTCGTCTTCGGTTGGACTTCAGAGTCGTATAAGCTTTCGCCTTTGTATTGTTCTTCGCATTTGTCTTCGCAGTCGTCATCGAGTTAAACTCCGTATCTTTTTAGTTATCGCCTTTATATTCGTTTTTGTATTCGTTTTGATTTTCGTCTTCGTGTTTGTCATCGTATTCGCTTTTGAATTCTTCTCTGTATTTGTCTTCGTATTTGCCTTATATTCGTGTTCGTATTCGTCTTTATATTCGTGCTCGTAATCATATTCGTTTTCTTCTCCCATAGTTGGTCTTCATATTCATTTTCGTATTTGTCTTCTTATTGGTGTTAGTCGTCGTATTCATATTGGTCTTCGTATTCGCCTTGGTGCTCGTATTCGACGCAAAAATAAAAATAAAAATTAAACACCAAACAATTTTGAAACTATAAAAACCATTCCGATCTCTCCAGTAAAAACGCCTAACAAAGGCGGACAAAATTTATGTTGGCGTATTAATAAATAGATTTGGCCATTTCCTTTGAAGGCAATATTTCATTAGGTTCGCAAAAAATATTTCTACAATTCACTAGAAATATGCAGATGAATGTAGTTAAAGATGCCCTTTTAATAGAAGCTTAATAAAAATATTAAATTTTTTAAGTGAAAATATTTTTTTTTTCTGTGTTTCCTAAAGTCACTTAAGTGGTTTTAATAAAATGCAATGAATATATGTATGCCTGTAAAGTGTTTTCTTCCTAAAATAAAGTTTTAAAATACACGATTGAAATACTTCAAGAAATGAGTGAGAACTTCTGAGAATATAACTCGAGAAACTCTTTTAAGCTACTAATAATAATATTTGGTTAATATTTGGTTGCTTAAAAATACGGACTTATTAGTGTTTAAGAGAAACTGCTTTCCATATTGGCTTCATTGAACGCAGTTCCAAATTTGTTGGAGAAAATGTCGATTTCATATACATAAATGCGTACATACGCACATAACACGCAGAAGAAGAAAAATTGTTAAGTTGCGCATACGCCCCGTCATGTACGCCCCTTTTTTTTGTGTACACGCATACATATATATTTTTTTAATATTTCATTAATTTCTAATTAAGACCGTGAGAGTTTTTTGACTAAATTTTTAGCCTTCATGTTTGCCATATCTACGTACATATTTCTAAAATGTATTCAGCGTCGTTTCACACTAAATCACTTGCACTATAAGCCAAAAAAAAAAAACATTGCAACTCCTTCCTCTTTTCCCGCCACTTACTGCCACACTCCACCTACCTACTCGGAATTTTGCAA